CAACATTCGCATTTCAGCTACATGTATGCGTCTTTCATCCGTTCTCTTTGTGGGCCAACTTTCAGAACTTGGGGTCGCAAATTGCTCCCGTTACCTGCCGCCACTTCATCCACCCTGCATTGATTCGATGCTGTACAGTCCGGTTTATTTCGCCATCGCTTTGAAAGAGGGAGCCAAGGTACTTGAAGTCGGAGCAGACTGTTATCGCTCTTTTATCCAGAGAAATGGTTTGAGGACTGGAGAGACCGCCAAAATCGCAGAACATATATTCAGTTTTGGTTCTGCTGATTTTTAATCCAACATTCTCCAGTCTTTGTTGTCATTTTTCCAATCTGCTCTGGACCTCACACCCATCTTCTCCGACCAATACAATGTCGTCTGCAAATAGCATACACCAAGGTGCCTCCCCCTGTATGTCCGATGTCAGAGCATCCATTACCAACAGGAAGAGGTATGGACTTAGAGCCGATCCCTGGTGCCTACAGAGACACTGAATTTTTCGGTGTTCCCAGCGATCCATCTTACATGAGTGCTAGACTCTCTGAACATAGCACGAATTAATTCCACGTACTTAGCAGGCACTCCTTCTACTTTCAAAGCCCACCACAAAACCTCTCGGGGAACCCTATCATACGCCTTTTCTAGATCAACAAACACCATATGCAAGTTCTTGTGCGCACGTCTGTACTTCTCAGATATAATTCTGTAAGTATATTGGTTTATAAATTCCAGTTGGCTTTAAATTGATGTGATAATATATGCCAGTATCTATTACAACACACGCGTGTCCCTCTCATTTGCCATATCTTTTAGGAATGCAATTTCCCTGTAGTAGTAAATAAAGAACTTATTATTTTACTAGCGACTCATCCTCGCTTCGCTCGGGTTCGTCTCAAACTTGCTTCCCAATACAAACTTTCATTCCTATTTTCACTCCCTTAAGGTATGATTTCCGGGATAAAAAGTATCCTATGTCATTCCTAGGGTCTCAATCTATCTTCTTACCAATTTTCATCTAAAGCGATTTAGTAGATCCAAAGATTACCCCCTACTACGTCACAAACTCACAAATTCACAATATCACAAACTTTACCTCTTTATAATATTAGTATAGATTAAAATCCTAAATTATTAATATAATTGAACATAAAACACTGACATAAACATGGTAGTGAAATAAGAAATTATTTCTGTTTGTATACTTTTAAATTTATGTTCGTAATCACGAGGATGCCTTGTCTCCGAAAGGAGGCTATTTCAAGTCCTGTACGCCCACACTACGTTTTTTACTACTCATTTACTTTTTATACACCTTTATGGTTTGCAATTGAAAAGGTAGGCTTATAAATTGCACTGATTTAAAGATAGTCAAAGTAATACTTAAGATTCGAGACAGCAATATTTATGTGGGCGCGCGTCGAAGAAATAATGAAAATGAAAGTTTTACAATTTGTTGAAATATAGCACGTATAACTGCCTTTAATTTTACGTATACCATTAATTTTCTTAATATCCTTAATGTCATAATTTATATTAAACTAGCATTGCCCGCAGCTCCACCCGCGTTCAGATGTCCAAAAACCAAATTCTTAGGTTTTACATATTAGTATACTCTTACATTGCAGTTTTTGTATTTTATCTCAGAAAGTATCGCGGGAAAATATCTCATTTTCCCGCGGTAAAAAGTGTCCTATATGTTGACCCGGATAATCAGCTATCACCATACCAAATTTCATCAAAATCCCTCCAGTGGTTTTTCCGTGATGCGGTAACAGACAGACAAAAATTCTAAAAGCTGTAGATTCGGCTTCTGTATCGATAATAATGTCTATTTCAATAAGATTTTCTAAAAAATATTTAGTGCATAGATTCAGCTTAGTTAGAATTTTATTATATGTATAGATATAAATATCTAAATAATTCGTACTCATTTTGTAAATAAGAAAATATTTTTATAAATTTGTTTACACGACAATAAATCCGGATCGTCTGTTTTTTTAATAGATTCTAGATAGTAAGATTCTAGATATGGAATCACTAAGCATAAATGCAAACCCAGATCTTAACAAATATCTCTACTATATAATATCTATAGCCATTAAAGGCGTTTGTCGTACCACTCACGGATTCGCAACCGCAGAGGCTATGACTTTGTAAATTAGTCCTTGAAAACTCGATTTTTTTTAACGTAATTGATAATAGGAGATCGAGAGGCTGAAATATCTATTTCTGTAGGTGATGGAAATGCATAGTTTCGAAGAAATATAAAACAATGTATTTCAATAAATAACGATTTGCGATATACTCTGTGGGAAATGGCAATTCCCGTCCGAATTTATTCCCCAGTATTTAGATCAAAAAGATTCTAGTTTATTCAAGTACCGCTTTAGTTTAGCTTTCTTAAGACTGAATTCTTGCTAATCATGACCCTTGCGTGTCTACACGACTTGATGTATACGAGTAAAGTTTAAGTATATATTTATTCTATCTATAAATACATTAAAATATATATAAGCCATAACGTCCCAGGTGATTTACTTATTGCTCATGGTAGAGAGCTATTTAGCGAGTTAAAATGGGTGGATAATTCATGACGAAAGTATAGAGTAATTTGTAAAGCAAATCATTATCTACTTATACCTCATATTGGCTAATCTACTGTATAGAAACTGATTAAAAAAATATTTACTTAATTCTCATACACTACCAAGCGTTGTTAGTCCCCCCCCCTCGCCCTCCCCTTATTAATTAAGGGTGCCGCAGGATACTAAACCATTACCGATAATCGTTATCGACAAATGAGAATCACATGCAACACTTAACTAAATAGGCCGTCTTTAGTATCTGTCGACCGCTCGGACATTGAATTAAAGAAAAGTAGTCCAGACTAATGAGGTTCGTCTATTAATTTAAGAGAATTAAAGGACAAATTGGAAGTCTCACGCGATCTGATTCAGGTGCTTAGTGTCCTAGATTCGACAGGAGCCAAGTGAAGGAAACTACAGCTAAATCATAAGTGATTATAGTCATTTGGAAGCACGCGATGGTGAAACTTATTTAGAAGTTACAATCAACGAAGTATATAGCCTACGTATGTCTAATTTAATAAGAACTAGGGATCCGTTCGAAGTCCCTAAGTAAATATTTTTATTAGATTAATATCCCGCGAACTTAACATAAAAAATACTTAATCTTAATCTTATATCTTTTCCTTATAAAATACCGGCCAAACACACAGGAAGGATCCTCCTCCTTTTTGGAAGTCGGGTTAAAATTAGTAAGGATATATCGTACTGAAATGAAAATAAAATAATTTGTTTATAACTGAAATTATATAATAAATATTTTTTTCTTATATTACAATATTTTTTTCTAATATAGGTAATATAGGTACTAAGTTTCTTAGTCAATCGTATGTAATACCGATACATACATAACTGCAATATATTTAAATTTATTTTCAAAAGTACCAATTAGAACAATCGAAAAATCCAATTGAAAATCGAAGAATAAAAAAGCTTTATAATTTATCCTCTATTTATTTCAAAAAGTTCAAGTTCAAAGTAATTTTAACAAATTGGAAAACGGTATTGGAAAATTTTTAAATTATTGACGAACGATTAATTCAACTCCATATCATTGATGACAGTGCAGAATATGATCCTCAGATTTATTATTACACTAGCAGAACCCGCGGCTTCGCTCGCGCTAAAACTACAAAAAATCCTAACAAAGGTTTTATACAAACTTTATTCCCCTATTTTACCCCCTTATAAGATGAATTTCGAAAAATGCTAATAAAAAATAATACTGTTGTATTTGTTTCATTTTATTGAAGAGCATTTAATACCAAATTTCAAGTAATTCTGATCATAAATATTTTTTTGCATTGTATTATAACGTGGTTTCCCGTGGGAATTAGACAACCTCCCGCGGTAAAAAGTAGCCTAGATGTCACTTTTCAGCCCTCTATCTTCACACAAAAAATTACGCCAATCCGTCACTCAGTTTCAACGTGAAAGAAGGACAAACAAACAAACAAACAAACAAACAAACAAACAAACAAACAAACAAACACACTTTCACATTTATAATATTAAGTATGGATACATAATAATCGTTGGCTTACTATTACAAGGTTCTATGTTAATTTTAATGAAGTTTAGTAATTTTTACATAGAACTTCGTTATTTTGTTATCGTAAAAAAAACAACATAGAACTATGTAAAATTGAATATTTTGTAGTTAAAGTGCCGCTATCTAGTGGTTTGTTTTTGCAAAATTGTAGCTAATGACACATAGAACCTTGTAGCATTAATAACTAAATAAGTATTAAAATTGTAACATAGAACCTTGTAATAGTGAGCCAACGAATTATGACCGTTAAAGAAACATCATATTCTTTACACAAGAAATCTAAAAACTTTAAACTGCTATTGAATTGGAATTTTTGTCTTATATCTAAAAATGAGTAGCAGGTAACTTAACGATTTTAACCTAATTATTGATTCGCATTGTTTTATGAGTTCATTTCTCCAATTGGCATGAATTATTACAGACCACAACGGATCTATGGGTCCGTTAACCTGACTTACTTTTGAAGAGTGATATGCTGGGTCACGTCCGCAAAGAAAGGACGCACCGTCTTTTTTGCATATAATATCTTCGAGGGGCATAACTACTGAAATGGAAATAAATATATTAAGAATTTTATAACATACTATGAGAGAAAAAAAATTAATCTTGATATAATTTCTTGCATTAAAATCAAAATAAGGTCCTATAGAAAAACTAATTTAGTCGGACTTTTAATTTCTAATCGCAGAAGTTAGTTTTTAAAAACGTCCCAAAAATCGTAATATACCGGAAAACTCCGCAGAGGATGTTAAATGAGTATTTAATATTAAATAACTAAAGAAATACTACCTACCTCTACTATTGTTATAGTGATTTTTATATTACAATTGTGTACGTGCTAAGTAATATTTTGTCTATTTCAGAAAAGTTACCTGGAGGCATTTGGGTATTTGAAAAAAGGACATCCAGAAGTTGGCAACTTGTTAATGGGAGACGTCTCGCAATCCTACGAAGATGATTTTAGGATTGCCATCAAAACTTTGCAAGTTTGTACATTATTTTTGTAATAATGTTAGTTTCTAGTTACATTTTAATTTAAAAACATTTTTATTTTTTATAGAAATTGAAATCTCAGTTTTAAAAAGAATCGTAGTTTCTGACAAAAATAATAATTGTATTGTATTTATTTACATTCTGGTGCATGTGGCACTAATAGCAATTTCTTTTTATAAATCTTTATAAAAATATATAAGATCAATCTAATATTATTTTTGGATAAAAATACATAGTAGAATGCAGATGCACGAATTTCCTTAGTTTAACATACATTAATCTTCAGGAATTCGGCGGTATTCCTGTAACGGGTGTGGTAGACCACGCTACGAAAGAACTAATGAGAAGAAAAAGATGCGGGAGACCAGACCGAGAGCCTGGAAATGACGAAAACGGAAAACGAAAAAAGAGATTTGCAGTTCAAGGCGAGAAGTGGAAATACACAAATTTAACATGGAGGTAAGCTATTGTAACTATTTTATTGTAATTAAAGTTTCTATATAATATGTATAAGATAATTTCTAAATATTTTTTAGAATCAGCGCCATCTAGCATCTATCGTCAGAACTATTAAGTCATCTATATTTACTTCCTAGATGGCGCTAACTTCGCCCAACAATGCCATCTATTAATACGTTTTATATTTATGTTACTATTCAATGCTAGATGTCACTATAAGCTATGTTTTATAATAAATTGCATTCGTTGAATATTATAGAGTCAACAAAATATGACCATATAGTTATTTACGTAATATTAAATATTGAACGTATTAATATGTTTATTAAATAAAAAACAACAAAGAATTGTTCCTATAGGGGCTAATATTGTATTATAATCTTAATTTTTAGACACACCTGTCATATTAAGGAAATCAAAAATTTATTAGTAGATTATTTTCTATATTTACTAGAAACTATATATTTTCTTCATATTAACTGGACTTCATATTACTTCGTTATACTATTAACTCCCAATTGCTCCTTTTATTACTGAACTATAGGCACATTATCTATATGGTTGTAAGCTTTATATTTCCAACAGCACAGTAATACTTTAGGGGCACATAAAATTGATGACAAATAATAGTTAAATCACGGGGATCGTAAAAGTTACGACACTTTCCGCGTGGCTTAATTAAAAGAATATGTCCACGACGCCTCTGAGTGTGATGCCTACTTCGAGCCATAATTAAACAAGAGCCGTTTCTTCAGAACATTTTATTTCACGACACATTTTAAGGCAATGTTGCATTTGTAAAATTACTAATAATAACAATTCCTTCTCATACAGTATGAGTTGGGATATATTTTGTTTTCGTATTCGTAGTAAATTATTTTGATTAATTAACTTATTTCTGCTAGTTATTTGGCTCCAATACTGTACGCATTCTTCACGTAATTTATTGTACATATATATAAATATTTTGTAACTTTCTTAGATAAACCAAAAATATTGCTAAAAGAAATAAACAAAAACCAAACTGTATTTATATTTAAAATAAACATAAACTTGAAACAGCTAATACAGCAAATATGAAACGAGAACATTTGTTAAAAAATGTTACGTTTAAGTTCTACCTAGCGATTATGGGCGCATTTGGTATCCTATTTGAAGTGGAAACAACTGCAGAACACGCGGCTAATTTGAAAAGTTCACAATCACCTGCACGGACCGCGGCTTCAGCACAATTTCCTGTCGAATTAATGGTCTGTCAATATTGTAGTCCTCCATTACTGCTTGTTGTGCAAACCAGCAATAAAACGAGCAACGCCATCTCGCGGCGAGTTTATGAGAGAGCGGCGCCGGTGGAGGTCGAACAAAAAATGGGTTTTAGTATATATTTTTTTGTTTTGTTCAACATTTATTTTGTACCTTTATATGAAAGTAGAGTGCATATGTTTTTATTTAGGGAGTTTAACAATAACTGCATATGCGCACACATAGTATGTGTTTCTTAAAAATTGAAGGTTAATTCCTATTCACTATTTAAATTGGATTGGTTACAAATTTGTACAAAACGATACGTTCGTAGATTTAATTAAAGAAGTACTACGTAAATGTCTATTAAATAGATTAATATGATCACAGCTTCAGTTGCTCAGACAGCAAACGGATGATAATACAATTTCGATACTGTTAATGCATAATTCATTAAATATTTGCACAATATCATCTCAAGAGTGTAAATATAAACCTAATCTGTCTAATAAACAAAAAAGGTAAGAATGACAAATTCGATAACCGCATTAATAGCTACATAAATATTTTATCGAACGATAATATAAATAATATACAAGCCTTATGTAGTTATGTCCGAGACACCATAGCAATAGTTATTACATTGAAACGGTATTGTATTCACAATGGGGCTGACAGCTAGATGACGGCCGCATTACCCCCTGTGGCGCTGTCATCGCCATTCGAAACACTAGAAAATAATCAGGGAATGATATGCGTAAAAATACAAAATATATATTTCCTATTAAAATGTCTCATATCTTCAACATAACATATTTATGGAAAATACAATAAATATGTAAGGAAATATCAATATTTTCCAAAAATATTCTACTAAAGTACGGGGGAAAAATAGTCGTACCTAATATTAAAATTTTTAAGCGTTTTTTATATATATGTGGATACAATATATAGTATTCAACCAAGCAAATAATAAAATAATTGTGTAATAGAGTTTGTAAAAAAGTACCTTACAATGAAAAGCTATATCAGTTGCGTCTATGATAAATGTAATCAAATTTTACGTCACATACTTAGGTATAATAATAGTCAAAATATTATATTAATGTAAATACAACATAGTAATTTTATGACATGTAAACGAAAAAGCTATTTTAATAATTTTCAGCTATCACCCCTATCTCAAGCCGACACGAACACGAACTGGGTTGACATTTCAATACTGAAGGCATTTCACAATATCCATAGTTCTATACTCCATAGCTCTAGTTATACGACGTGATAAACAGCTTATTATGCGTAAATTGAATGTACTAAAACGATAATAGCATTCGATGTTTTATAGGTATGTTAATAATCTAAAAACATACGGTGTACCCTTGCATTTTTAAGATAACTATATATATATATATATATATATATATATATATATATAGTTATCTTAATATATATATATATATATATATATATATATGTAACTGCCTCTGTGGTGTAGTGGCTAGCATGTACGACTGCACACTCAGAGGTCCTGGGTTCGAGTCCCGGGTCGGGCCAAATTTAGTTATTGAGTCTTTCTGTATAGTAAGTCTCAGTAACAGCCCGGAGTTGGAAAGTTGGCGGTGTTTCACCCCCGTGCCTAGGAGAGCACGTAAACCCGTCGGTCCTGCACCTTAACTCTCACTGGTCGTGTCGAGCAGTCGTCCCACCGGAGTATGAGAGTGACAGGAATAGAGAGTGCACTTGTGTCTGCGCGTACACTTGTGCACTATAATATCTCCTGCGCAGTTGGCTAGTCTCAGTGAGATAGGCCGCCGTGGCCGGAATCGGTCACACACACATCATCATCATATATATATATAATATATTTTATTTTGAAGTATATCAAGAAAAAATGGTCGGAGCGTTGCATAAGGTGTTACAATATACTGGATTATTTGGTCATGTGGTGTATTAGAATTTAGAATAATGTTAAAAGTCTCTAGGGCGTGTCACATTGTCACTAGTAAGTGTTAAATAAAAACTAAAATTAAACTATTTTTTTTAAAACTTTAAGCTAATGGCTTAACAGATTTGTTCTTTCGTTCAGATTGTCGAGTTCTGATGTATAGAAAAGTCTTGGATTAATACACGCTATTTTTCATCATCATATCTACCATGGACCCTCGGGAAACACACGTAAAATATTAATAGTTTAAAATTGTTTTCGTATATATCTATATTTATAAAAATGTGAGTAGTTAGCTTTAAAATATCATATATTTTAAGAAAAACGTTTTTACTACATGAAGCCGTTATCTCTATTCTTGCGTAGGTAACTAGTAAAGTTAGCAAAGCGTTACATGGTACCATTATTGCAAAGTGCTTCTTAATGTTTATTTTAACATACGTCGCCATCGCGCCATTGAGCGCCGTATAGGACCTAAGTGCTGAAAGGTGACTTTAATTTATATACTGTTGGAATTAAAATTTCTCTTAAAGACGGCTTTTGCCCGTGGCTCCACTCACGTAGTACATCCTTAATAAGTAAGTGCCTATCATATGCGTTAATCCAGAATTTAATCTACACATTTCGAATATCTCTAAAATTAATTAAGCTAAATGTACGATTTATAACAAATAAGATATCTTAGAAATCTCTAGTGTTATTTGAGCACTCATGTCATGAGCCCGGATAGCTCAGTCGGTAGAGCATTGGACTTTTAATCCAAGGGTCCAGGGTTCAAGTCCCTGTTCGGGCGGTTCTTTTTATTGAACCAATTTTTATTTTACAATTAATATTCACTTGGTAGTCAGGAAGATTATTTTTTTAGTTTACACTTTCTATATTTTGTTCTTAAATAAATTTTGAAAAAAAAACAAAATATAATTAAATAAAAAAATATAACAGGAAGAAGTGTACTCTTAATAGAAAAAATGTTTATTGCAAATACAGTTGACAATAATTATTTTTTTTCAAACAATATGCAATTGCGGTTAGCATTAAAATACAGTACGGCTTTCCATATTGATTGGGTGATTAGTGAAACCTATCAAGTCCGTCTCGATGAGAATATGCCGTCACGCAGTCACACTACGCCTTGTAGCTTGAAAGCATGTGTTTGGTTTCTTATTAATCACCAGCACTTGGACAACCCTATCATAAAAGGCGATACGACAGCAAATAAAGTCATAGTATATCTGTTCAATGATTAAGAGCAGTGAGAAATCTATAATCATAACTGCTATAAATGTGTTTGTCTGCTCTTTTGACGGCTTAGCTACGAAACTATTCTCATGTTATTTTGCAGAAAATTAATATATTTATAAAGGCTTAATTATTACATATTATCAATTAAACTCGTATTAAGAAAAAAAGATATTTTTACGACATTGACAGAAGGAACTTCGTATGAAAATACCCGTACTGTATAAAAACTCCTACGTTTAAAGTGAGTGATATTTACGTTTAAAATGATATAATTAACATTAGAGGCCCTGTAATTTCTTTGATTTAAATTATAAAACCTACTGTACCTAAAGTGAGTTTGAAAATGTACGTAGCTTATACGGGAATAAGGTACATTTATGTATTTTTATGTATTCGTATTTTTATGTATAAGATATTCATAGTTAGTATATGAATGTAAATAAAAACGGCCATTTTAAAATTTTACGTGATAATAATTTCACTTCAAATCTATAATGTTTTGTCTAAAAACTTTTAAAAAATATACATTCTAAATACAGCTGAGTCTCAATTTATTCGTTAATGAACTACCT